TATATATATATATATATATATATATATAGAGAGAGAGAGAGAGAGAGAGAGAGAGAGACATATATTTATAGATATATATATATATAGTGGTCCATTGGTCCAGTGGTCTAACCTTTCTCTGGTGTTTGTTGATGCAGGCCTCATGCGACAAGAAGGCGTAGTCGAGTCGATGCAGGCCAACTGCTGCAGAGCTCAAAAACTCCCGCAGCTGAGCCTCCTGCTGCCGCAGCGTCTGGCAAGCTGTTGAACCCACCCACACCTGAAACCACCAGCAGCAGCAGCAGCAGCAGCAGCAGCAGCAGTAGTAGTAGTAGGAGTAGTAGTAGTAGCAGCAGCAGCAGCAGCACATGTAGCAGCAACAGCAGATGTAGCAGTTAACGGTTGCAGCAGTAGTTGCAGCAGCAGCAGCAGCGCATGTAGCAGCAGCAGTTGCAGCAGTAGTAGCAGCAGCAACAGCAGCACAAGAAGCAGCAGAAGTAGCAGCAAAAGTAGCAGCAGCAGCACATGTAGCAGCAGCAGCAGCAGCAGCAAAAGTAGCAGCAGCAGCATGAGAGTCCAACAGGGCGAGGGCTAAACAAGGGCTATAAGCAACGCTGTGGAGCCGCTCCGAGCCGCAGCAGCTCCTACTGCAACAGCAACAGCAACAGCAGCAGCAGCAGCAGCAGCAACTGCAGCAGCAGCAGCAGCAGCAGCAGCAGCAATTGCCTCACCTCCACCTTGTGGGTTTTGTCATTGTTGCGGAGACAGAGAACAACCCCCGTAAGAGTCGACAAGACAGCCTTCAGGCTTCTTCTGTTTCTTTGCTGCTTCTGCTCCAGGGACCGCAGCAGCAGCAGAAACACACCCTGTACATACACCACAACGACACTATATACAACCAATGCTGCAGCAGCAGCAGCAGCAGCAGCAGCAGGTCCCCCCTTCTGCTCCCAGCAACGAGGCGAAAGAGCAGCAGCATCTGTCGCCTATATAGATGAGAGCTGCTGCTGCAACTAAAAATACAACTCCTCCTGCTGCTACAGCAGCAGCAGCAGCAGCAGGAGCAGCAGCAGCAGCAGCAGCAGCAGCAGCTGTTGCTGCTGCAGCAGTTGCTGCAGCAAGAACTCACAACTGCCTGAGACTTTCCCGCTAGGTTTCTGATAACGAAGTGACCCCCCCCCCTGTTGATGGGGTCCTCCCAAAGGGGGAGACAGCCGCCGATGCATGCAGCTATGTTTACCGGGGGCCCCAGGGCCCTCGTCGTCAGCATGCTCCACAGCTCTATTATGCCTCTTGCTGAGCCCACCCGCCCTGTTGCAGCAACAACAACACATATACACACATGCATGCATGCATGCATGCATGCATATATGTTTCAGGGTGGAGATTCTTATCTTGCTGCTTGTGCTGCTGGTGTTGCTGCTAGTGCAGGTGGTGTCTGTGTTGTTGGTGTTGTTGTTGGTGCTGCTGCTGCTGCTGCTGCTGGTGTTGGTGTTTCTGTTGCTGTTGTTTGTGCTGCTGCTGAAGCAGCTGCTGCTGAGGCAGAGTGCATGCGCTGCGGGGACACACCGATCTGTACAAGGCCCCGCTCATAGTCCTCCTGCAGCCTTCCCTTGCTGCTGCTGCTGCTGCTGCCTTTGCTGCTGCAGTTTGTCTCGTTCCCTATGGGATCGTGCCTGAGCAGCAACAACCGAAACCCCCACACAGCACCGCAGCAGCTGCTGCTCCTGCTACTGCTACTACTGCCGCTGCTGCTGCTGCTGCTGCTGCCGCTGCTGCTGCTGCTGCTGCTGCTGCTGCAGGTTAACTTACCACAGATACCATCCGCCAGGAAAGGGGGCCCAGGGGCCCCCGTTATTGCTGGGGGGGCCAGGATACCGTTGGAGGTCCCTCTCGTCTTCCGGTATGTTTTGCTGCTGCTGCTGCTGCTGCTGCTGTTGCTGCTGCTGCTGCTGCTGCGGTTTCTGCTGCAGCTGCTCGCTGGGTACAACTTGAATGTCTCTTCCTGGGTTAATCAGACCAGCAGCAACAGCAGCACTAAAGACACAAGCATGTCGGTGCGGCCTGCTGCCTGCTGGTGCTGCTGTTGTTGTTGCTGCTGCTGCTGCTGCTGCAGGGCCCCTCTCTAGGTACCCGCAGGGCCTCCGAGCAGCAGGTGGGCCCCCAAACCGCTGCGGCTGCCGCTGCAGCCCAGCGGGAACGCCGCTGGGGGGCCTCCGGGGGCCCCGGCGCTGCAAACAAAAAGAAAATAAAAAAAATAAAAATAAAACAAATGCTATAACAACACAGACAAGCGAAACCCTAACATATCCTAGGCCAACCCTAAACCCTAAACCCTAAACCCTAAAACCTAAACCCTAGAGAGAAATACGAAAGAGAAAAAGGCAGCAAAGATAAATACAGGGAAGAGAGATAAAGAAACAGCTCCGTTCAAGTTGCATGCACTCATGCAGTTCCGCTTGTCTAGGGTTTAGGGTTTAGGGTCTGGGGTTTAGGGTTTAGGGTTTAGGGTTTAGGGTTTGTTACCACGGTGATGTCTTCGTCATCAGATATAGGCACATCTGCCCAGCGGCGGGGCCGTCGGGGTTTCACAGCAATCCAGCCTTCAGTGTCTTCCTCTGCTGCTGCTGCTGCTGCTGCTGCTGCTGTTGCTCTTGTTGCTGCTGCTGCTCCTGGCTCGGCCGCTGCCGCTGCCGCTGCTGCTGCTGTTTCTGTTGTCGCTGCTGCTGCTGCTGTTTCCTGTGTTGCTGCTGCAGCTGCTTCTATTTGCTGCTGAGGCACTGGAAATCCCAAACGGCTCTCTGAGCCATCATCAGCTGCTGCTGCTGCCGCTGCTTCTGCTGCAGTTGCTGCTGCTTCTGCTGCTGCTGCTGCTGCTTCTGCTGCAGTTGCTGCTGCTTCTGCTGCAGTTGTTGCTTCTGCTGCTTCAGTTGCTGTCTCGTCTGTTGTTGTTGTTGTTGCTCTTGCGGCTGTCTCATCACATTCGGTTGCAGCTGCTGCTACTTTGAGTGTAGCTGCTGCTGCATCTGCTGCAGCATCTGCTGCAGCAGCACTTGCTGCAGCTGTTGCTGCTGCAGCCGTCGCTTCAGCTGGCTCTGCTGCAGCACTTGCTGCTGCTGGTTCTGCTGCAGCAGTTGCTGCTGCTGGCTCTGCTGCAG